AAATAAAAGGTTAATGAATCTGTTTCATTGACATTCATATTTCACACAAGCAATACAGCCAAGTCTCAGTGTTCAAATTAAGAGGCACTGCACTCTTAATATTCTAAATCACCCATTCTTTAGGAGTTTAAAGCTGAGAAACTCATTATACAGCACTTACTGCACAGAAATTGTTCCACGTCAATGTTTATGCTCCACATGAACCTCCTTACACCCTTCTTCATTTAACCGCATCAACATATCCTTCTTTGTTTTTCTCCCTCGTGTGCTTTTCTAAGTTTCCCTTGAATGCACTTATGCTAGTCATATTAACAACTCCTCATGGTAGCAAGATCCACATTCTAACCACTTCTGGGTAAAGGGGTTTGTTCTGAATTCCCTAACTTACGTTTATGAGCTTTAATTCTGATTTTGTCTGCAAATAGAAACAGCATCCCTCAATCTACCCCATTAAACTTTTTTGATGTACTTAAAGACCTCTACCAGGTCACCCTCAGTCTTTTCTCTTGCTCCTCTCAATTTTCCTTTCATCTGGTAATCAAATATTTTTAAAATTCAACCGCAATGCTTCTTAATCTTCACCTCGTGACATTGTCCAGATTCAGTGACACGACACACTATGAATTTTGATCTTTTGCCTGTAAGTTTCTCAATTAAAAAAAAAATAAATAAAGCATAGTTAACAATATTCATTATCCAATGCTATGAATTTAAGGAAATTGCATGAACTCTGAAATCAAGCATTTTAAAATGATATATGTGCCTTGCAGTAAACACCGCTTAGCATAACAAAGCAATAATTCACTTGCTGCATATGCCAAAGCAGTAGCGCACAGGCAAATACATGCACAACACACAATGCATAATTAGTGCTGAACACATTTCTGAAGAAATTGCAGTAATGAAAGAAACTTCAGTGACCATTTTAATATCCATACACAGAGCTTAAAGCTGTACAGAGCAAGACATTAATACAAATGTCACAATATTACTTGTTAACTGCAATTACGTAGAATATCCTGAAGTTTATGTGCTGGCCTAGAAACAGGTCATCACAAAGTTATGTAGCGTGCAGCTGGCAATCCAAGGAACATTTGGGTCAGACACAAACTAGCAGCGACGGTTCATATAATTTTATGACCCTTTCTCATCTCCCTGCAGTACTTAATTCCGATAACATGCAAGTCAATTTAACAAAATGTTCAGTTTTCATTGGACTTTCTCAGATATTGTTTTGGCAGTTAACGAGACATTACTCTAAGTTTTTTTTAATATTGCAAATAATTTGCATTTTAAAAGCATTATTTTCACAGATCAGCATATACAGATGTTTCATTAAACCAATAAACCTGCAAAACAAAACTATTACTCCCTGGCAACGTACATTATGCTCAAAACTTAATTTAGATACATGCTGAAAATTATACATGCAATCCAATACCACTGGAACTGCTACAAACTACTTGCTTAATTTGAGGCACATCAAAATGTGGTCAGATACATAGGTTTTACACTCTGGCGTGAAACCTCAGATGACTTTGTCCAAAAATGTAATCCTTGTAGTTAAAAGGAAGTTAACTACTTGTCTGGAAGCAATAACAAGTACATACCGGGCCATACAATGCTTATCAAAAGATCTCCAATTAGTGAAATATTAAAATAAAACAAATTTTGCAGGTCACACTTTTATGTATAACTAGGGAATGCTATAACAGTCTGTCCAGCACAAGAAAACCAATGAAACAATGCACCAGTTTTCACACTATTTTGACATACACTTCAATTCAAACTTTATTTCTGGTTTTAATTACAATACAATATATCTACATCAAAATATATTGAGATTACTGCGTTAAACCTGCTGCAAACATTCCAGGTGGTCCAGTACTTCCACTCATACAGCACTGTAGGTCCATAAAGAACAGCAATGATAGATTTGGTGACGTGAATGAAGTCAGCATTCTAATTCGCTTCTGTTAAACCAGATGGCTAACTAATGTGTTTTTATAAAGAAAATTAAAACAAAATATTGATTTATTTGCATTTATGATAGGAAATTGTGGACTTTCCACAACTTACGTAAAAGCCACAATTGAAGCACAAACCTATTCCCTCATTTTTACAAATCTAATAACTGACTCTTGGATGCGGAGTTTCCATGCATCCAGAAGCTGAAATTTTGCATTTCTCATTCTGCATTGATGCTAAAGTGGCAGTAATTTTACCAGGCAGGACATTAAATTTAAGAGGTTAAGCATTTCAAATCAGTTTGCCATATCTCACACAGTGGATATAACTTCATTCCTCCACAATGTCACGCAGAACAGTGGAAAAGAAATCCAATGTTATGGTGCAATGCTTTCTGTACCTATGCTCTAAAAGGTGCAAAAAAATAGCTAAGGTACTTTTATAAATCATTGCTTATGGTATCATATATACGTGAATATAATGTGCACATTTAATGTTAGCATCTATTAAATCATATTTAGGGGCCTAAATCTAGCTTTGGAATTCGTGAAAAATTCATGAAGTCCCTGTGGCTTTATCAATCTCAAACAGCACCTGGTCAATTTTTAAAACACAAATTATTCTCAGATGCTACCAACAGCCCTAGAGAACCTGCTACAACTGCAACCTTCCTCCATCGAAATCCTTGAATGAACCAAGTTTCGGTGCTCAATCTCAAACGTAAAGAAGCTAATTTCATCCATTTGTGGCCAGACCACCAGGTAAGAAGAGACAGTCTTCATCTCCATCACAAAGTGCCCAATCTTATCAGCAGCACATTTGATCTTGGAGAATAGAAGATGGTGGAGTTATAATCTTGGTGAAAAAGTCATGGCCCCTGTTGGTGGTTTGGTAAGGAGCAGGTCAGGGCTGACTGGAAAAATCCACATCCTTGTTTTACTTTGAAGGAAATGGGGGAAGAGGAAAACAGCAGAGGTGGATACTGTAAGGAGGGCAATGTTTTATAAATGACTTTAACAATAAAGAGAATATTCTTCCTGTATACACATATTATAACAATGACAGTACTTCAAAAACTACTGCACTGGCTGCAAAGCACTTTGGGGTATACAAAGGTAGTGAAAGATGATATGTAAATGCACATCTTTCTTTCTTTTATACAAAAGCTATAAATGAATTTCTGCAGCATTCTGCATCATGATTCCTCTCAGTAAATCCTAGCAAATGTTGAGATTTGTCAACAGCGTTGTAACAGAAATTAACATACAGCCGACAATTAGACTGTGCGTCAAATATTGCAGAAGTCAAATGGTTTGAGACAAAATAAAAATTGAAAGAACTGCGGATGCAGTAAATCTGGAACAAAGACATAAATTGCTGGAAAAAATCAGCAGGTCTTGCAGCATCTGTGAAGAAGAATCAGAGTTAACGTTTCAGGTCTGGTGCCCCTTTCTTCAGGAGTTTACAGCATCCGCACTTCTTTCAGTTGTTTGGTACTTGTTTTTATTATCAGGTATAGTACCAACTACTTAAAAAAAGGTGAGACACACTCTGGAACTACATAAACTCAAATTACACTCGAAGACACAGCAGTATTAATTAGGACAAGGAGAATTCTTGTCCAGATTTGCAACATGACTATTAGCGGAAGAGCTGAAAAAATATGCGACTAGAAATCATTTAACTGCAAGTCAAAATTAAGGAAAATAATTTACTATAAAGAACAAAAACAAAATTCTGCAAACACTAAGCAGGTCAGGTAGCAACTATGGAGGTAGGAAGAGAGTTAG